TTTGTATTTATAAATTGCAATAATACAATTAAATAAAATGACTTAATAGACAGATATTTTTTTGGTAGTAATATGAGTATTAGTGGCGATGTCTTGTGTCTAATTAAATGCGTTGAATTTTTAGATATCTATATTAAACACAAATTTTCTAATTGGGTTAAACCTTAACTGAATTTACAACTACAAAGCCTAAACGGCGGGCTGCAATGTGGTACAATGTATCTATATATAGATGCCTCAGTGTTACTTGTTTGTATGGTTGTGTTATTTTCTAAGCGTGTACTTCACATATCCTTATTCATATTTAAAACTATGATATACATGTAGTGCTTTTGGTCGAACATACTTAGGGAATATCAGGCTTTCTGCACCTTATGTCCGTAGGTGGCCTGTTGTATCATGGAAAAAATTATGCCCTGATGCAACTGTGACGTAACCTTCTTTTCCAGTGGTAGTGAAAATTTCAAACGCACAATCTCATTCTATTTGCGTGGCCTATCTATAATGTTTGATATTGTCGTTTGACGTCTAACTTCCATTAACATTTCTTATTTTGATCTGCTTCTTAAAAACTATCGTGAGCAAAACGAAAAAAATGGCCGTACACAGATTCATTTTTGGTGACTTAATTTAAGAATTGAATGCTTCTTTTTGTAAATGTATTGCGGTGTAAAAGCGTTGACCGAAGTACATTTTGTATGAAGCGCGGAAGCGCTTCATTCTAAAAATATGCGCACGGTCAACACTTTTACAACCCGATAAAACTACTAAAAGAAGCATTCAATACTTATAATTACATTTTTAGCTCACTTGGCCCTTTGGGCCAAGTGAGCTTTTCTCATCACTTGGCGTCCGTCGTCCGTCGTCCTGCGTCCTGCGTCCGTCGTCCATAAACTTTTACAAAAATCTTCTCCTCTGAAACTACTGGGCCAAATTTGACCAAACTTGGCCACAATCATCATTGGGGTATCTAGGTTAAAAAATGTGTCCGGTGACCCGGCCAACCAACTAAGATGGCCGCCATGGCTAAAAATAGAACAGAGGGGTAAAATGTAGATTTTGGCTTATATCTCTGAAACCAAAGCATTTAGAGCAAATCTGACAAGGGGTAAAATTGTTTATCAGTCAAGATCTATCTGCCCTATAATTTTCCGATGAATCTGACAACCCGTTGTTGGGTTGCTGCCCCTGAATTGGTAATTTTATGGAAATTTTGCCGTTTTTGGTTATTATCTTGAATATTATTATAGATAAAGATAAACTGTAAACAGCAATAATGTTCAGCAAAGTAAGATCTACAAATAAGTCAACTGGACCAAATTGTCAGTTGACCCCTTAAGGAGTTATTGCCCTTTATAGTCAATTTTTAACCATTTTTCGTAAATTTTTGTAATCTTTTACAAAAATCTTCTCCTCTGAAACTACTAAGACAAATTTAACCAAACTTGTCCACAATCATCATTAGGGTATCTAGTTTAAAAAATGTGTCCGATGACCCCGCCCGCGAACCAAGATGGCCGACATGGCTAAAAAATAGTACATAGGGTAAAATGCAGTTTTTGGCTCATATCACTGAAACCAAAGCATTTAGAGCAAATCTGACAAGGATAAAATTGTTCATTAGGGCAAGATCTATCTGCCCGGAAATTTTTAGACCAATCAGGCAACACGTTGTTGGGTTGCTGCCCCTGAATTTGGTAATTTTAAGAAAATTTTGCAGCTTTTGGTTATTATCTTTAATATTATTATAGATAGAGATAAACTGTAAACAGCAATAATGTACAGCAAAGTAAGATCTACAAATAAGTCAACATGACCAAAATTGTCAATTGACCCCTTAAGGAGTTATTGCCCTTTATAGTCATTTTTTTTACAATTTTCATAAATTTTGTAAATTTTTGTAAATTTTTACAAAATATTTTCCACTGTAACTACTGGGCCAAGTTCATTTTAGATAGAGATAATTGTAAGCGGCAATAATGTTCAGTAAAGTAAGATCTACAAACACATCACCATCACCAAAACACAATTTTGTCATGAATCCATCTGTGTCCTTTGTTTAATATGCACATATACCAAGGATGAGCGACACAGGCTCTTTAGAGCCTCTAGTTTTGCTTGTGCACTTTATTGTGGAAGCTCGTGTCATCATGAATGTTACATTTCACTATGAAGGTTAATTTCAGAATGACGCGAGATTGCTGTTAGCCAATCAAAATAACGTATTATAATGAAACATACATGTAATGCAATATTATGAATTTAAACTCGGTTGCCAGATTAAAGTTTACTTTGAAACTCAATGAAAAACTCAAAATTTGATTTAATCAAAGACAGATAAAGCAAATGAAATAAAACAGTGCAGGAATGATGTTTGCTTCTGACCTGATGAATAGTGAAATATGACTCCAAATATTCAAAAAGGAGGCCCAAATGTCTTTGATAGAAAATGAAAAGAATTGATACTCATTATAACTGCTCTATTTATTTATTGTGATTAAATTATTTCCCTTTTTTTCTTCTCATTGATTTCAGTGCAAATAAGAGCAAAACACCATAATCAGGAAAATAATTTCGATGTCGAAAAAAAATCTTTCGATTGCCCTTTGGTATCTTCAGCTGCATTTTTATTCCAATTTCGTATGCTAGATATAAAACATCATAGATTATTGCTTATCCGACAAATATACTGAAGACTAACTTTCATCAAGAAAAAACTGAACACTGATGGTTGAAAGAGACTCCAGGCCATATGACATATATGCAAGAGAGACACACTCACCACAACAAAACATTACCGTTACTGTTGCAATCTTACCACCCAAACTAAAGAATATGACCCAAGACCAAATGACACATATCAGACAGACGTACAGACAGGTATTTCTAAAACATGTCTTTATCGAAATAATGCTGTATTGTCGTGTATAGTTTATGAGGAACAGATCCAACTAAGATAAAAATAATTTAAATGAAATAATTGTCTTTTAACAATAAAATAGTCACTCTCCGGGTGCGGGATTTTCTCGCTGTGTTGAAGACCCTTTGGTGGCCTTGTGCTGTTTTCTGCTCTTTGGTCGGGTTGTTGTCTCTTTGATACATTCCCAGTTTCCATTTTCAATTTTACTCAACAGTGTGATGTAGATCGATAGCCTGACTAACTACAGACATAAACCTACATGCATATCTTGGGATCCTGACTAACTACAGATATGAACCTACAGGCATATCTTTGGATCCTGACTAACTACAGATATGAAGCAGATATTGGACTAGGATCCAAAGCTATTAAATACAAAACTTTACCAGTCACTCTAGCATGAAATGTAGGTCTTGATGACCTTAATGTTGCTGAACAAGCGCTTTACAATATGATAGCTGTTTTGTGATAAATCACTGATACACATAATGTATCATGTATTATCGTTTGTATCTGAGAAATGGTGAATATTCAAACTTTATATCAGGGTGCAAGTGCATTTGTAAATGTGGATATATTCTGTACTGGTATTATAGAGTAACATGATATTTCTGACAATTTTTATTTTATATTCTTCTTTGCATTCCATTAGGCCATACCAAAAGGAGAGGTTGAGTACTATATAAAATTGAGAATGGAAATGGGGAATGTGTCAAAGAGACAACCTGACCTAAGAGCAGAAAACAGCCCAAGGCCACTTATGGGTCTTCAACACACCTAAACAAAATTGTGTACTAGTTCAGTGAAAATGGATGTCACACTAAACTCCGAAACATATAAATGAACTAAAATTAAAAAAACATACAAGACTAACAAAGGCCAGAGGCTCCGGACTTGGGACAGGCGCAAAAATGTGGCGGGGTTAAACATATTTTGTGAGATCTCAACCCTCCCCCTATACATCTAAAACTGGTTTCACATCACCACCAGTAAATCTGCTTGTCACTAGTCAAGAATCTTGTCAGTAGCTGCATTTTATATTTCTTCTTATTTTTGTCCTTTAAAGCCAACTCATTAAGCTTAATTACCAACTGTGCAAGGGCTTAAGAAAGTACACCACTAATTCATGGCCCCATTGCTTTCTATGTTAAATTCCCCAATTTCAAGCAGGCACAGCTCTTTTGTTTCAAGTTCAAATAAAGTGACAATCATTGCATGTCAAAGCAACACTTTATGGTGCCTTGTACTGAAAAAATCAACATACCTTTAATGGCATATAAGAAAGAACTGGTTCCCGGAACTTCAGATATACCAAAACAGGTACTTCAGATCTGACAAACAGGCAAAATGTACCCTCTTTTTTAAATTTCATGCATTTTTTTTATTTTTCAAAATTATAAGTCAAACAGTGTTCTACAATGATCACCAGTCATTCAGCTTTCATTTGATACCAAAATTACCTAAATATTCTACATATTTTGAAAGTTACACCCATGCGTAGGAACTATTTTGTGTTAAATATGTACTACTTTCTGGTATGTGCTTTCTGGCCGGGCCCGAATTAGTGGTGTTACACCTTAACAGCCAGTCAAGGTCGTTAAAAACTACCCAGCCATTAAGCTTAAGAGCAAATATAATGTATAGGCACTTAAACATTGATGAAGACTATACATTGACCCCTGTATGTATTTTGTTGTTTATTGCTGTCTCATTAACATATAATCCCACTTATCCTTTTGTTCACATGCACCATAGGTTCCTACACTTATGAAAGAAAATAAGTGATATAGCATCAATTTCTTTATGCAAGTGCCAAGGTAGGCTGTTAGCAAAAAATCTTAAACAAAATCTTCACTTTAGAGGTTTTCTTTAAAACATAACCTTATACATTATTTGTATTTCAGTGGAATTTCTTCTTATTTTCAAGCAAATTTCATAATTTAATACAATGTTTCTCATCACACTTTTTTTAATTTTAAGTATCATTTGACTTTTCTCATCTTTTCCAATCTTAACTGTGAAGGTATTTTGACAGAGAATGAGAGATTCTAGTCATGTAGAATAAGAAACAAACAAAATAAACTGAAAATATATATTTATTTAAAAACAACAACACTTTCTCAGTGAGAATACATCTCTAGTTTTAAGGCCAGAAAACTGTCTTACAAAGTTCTACTTTGCACTAGTATTTTGTATATGAATCGTTTACTTTGTTGAATAATCTAAAGTACATTATGAATGTATTGTCTTTTCAAGCTTTCTGGCCCCAAAGACATACACAATGATTTTGTTTAGAATGTCTAGATATATCATAGGTGTGTTAATTTGACTACTTGATTACATGCATTATATATTTCATCATTCTTTATACTGTTTTTACAATACCATTTATGTAATATTTGTTAATGATATCAAACAAAAATGTAGCATCTGTAATGCACATAGAAAATGAATGTGTATCATGCCTTCTTTTATTTAAACAGACAGCTATGTACAGGGACTATTTATAGAAAAACTAGAGGTGCTGTAAGCCAGACCACAAACGGATAAGCCAAATCCCTTTAAATAACCCTGAGACAATTATTTTTCTTCATGCACATTTATGAAAGTTTCGCTGATATCCACATTTAATGGTTGATAAGGAATTGCTTGAAAACAGGATTTGTTGACAAATGGAGTGACAACTGTCTCATAATTGTCATAAATAGTTAAGATTGCTCTCACTATATGCAAGCAACCAATGATACCATGCAATATTTATTTGTAAGTATTTTGTTGTATTTTAGTATTCTGTAATACTTATTTCAATGACTTGTGTTTTTTTCCTTGGTTTATTATTCCTTGTTTGTTTTTAACTATATAAGAGGGATGAAAGATACCAGAGGGACAGTCAAACTCATAGATCGAAAACAAACTGACAACACCATGGCCAAAAATAAAAAGACAAACAGACAAATAATAGTACAGATGACACAACTTAGAAAACCAAAGACTAAGCAACACGAACCCCACCAAAAACTTGGGGGGTGATCTCAGGTGCTCCGGAAGGGTAAGCAGATCCTGCTCCACATGTGGCACCCGTCGTGTTGCTTATCTTACCCTTCACTACTTGAGATAAAAGGGGTGATTAGTTTAACAATGCCACATGTGCCATGTTGAAACTGAATCAAATCAGTGATTACCTGTCCCTTCACTGCTTGAGATAAAAGGGGTGATTAGTTTAACACTGCCACATGTGCCATGTTGAGTCTGAATGACATCAGTGATTACCTGTCCCTTCATTTGTTGTCTTTTAAATTGGTGTTGGTAATTTCTGTTGAATTATTTACACCTTGTCTTGACCATTGTTAAAAGCTGTATAGTGATCTCTACATGTCTTTTTTGCAAGTTTCTCTGCGATGTTCAAATCATATCTACTTTGACAAAAAATAATATTTTATTTGTGGATAGTAGCACCAACATATATATACCAAAGTATTAGTACATCACACTTAATATAAATTTCTATTATAAACAGTTTCAATATTCATGTAATTTTAAAAGTTAAAACACACAATAATGGATTTGATTTTTCTGGTCCTTTATAGTAGATGTGTAGTTAAATAAATAAAAACCTTTTAGTGCCTAATCCAATAATATTACAGATTACACTAACAGATGGACAACATGAAAAGATGGTTAATCTTGGTCCTCGATGGCCCTAAAATCAAATGTATTTTTAATGTTTTTAAATTAGCATAGTGAAATGTTTAAACTGTGGACTTCAATAAAACCACTCCTGTTTTATTCAAAATATTTCCATTTCATTGGTTACACAGCCATCAGTTGACGGTAGCATACCAACTTTCATTTTAGGTAAATTTACAGAACTGTATATGCCCTAAAAGTGTCTCTTCCGTCATCAGTTTTAAATCCATTTGATTTAAGTCTTAAATACACCTTTTAATTTGTGCTAAATATGCTCCTTTTTATGATTTGCCAGGATATTTTATTGTTCCATCCCTTTTTTACCTAATTGTGAAAAATGAGATATTTTGATACATGTGGATGTGTATATGTTTAATAAGGAGAACTTTTTGTTCCCAAGCTTTCAGTAAATTTGTATGCCAGTATTTCACATGAAAATATGATATGTTAAAAACATTTTGAGTTCATTCAATAACTTCTTTAAATTTCACCTTATGAATTATAATAAATATATAAAATATACATGTATGCATCTTTCTGAATAATACTACTAAATTCCACCAAATAAGTTCATACATAGAACCTTACACAGAAAATGAAAATATCTTCATCATACATATATTATATATTATGTAGAAAATCTAATGTTCACAGAACAAATGATAAAAAACATATTTTATTGTTATTTTATTAACAATGTATATACTGTAAATTCAGAAATAATTGTGATATTCTTAATAATGTAAACAATCCGTTGAAGGCAGTACCTTGACCTATAATGGTTTACTTTTGTAAATTGTAACTTGGATGGAGAGTTGTCTCATTGGCACTCATACCACATCTTCCTATATCAATCCAACAGGATAGGTAACATATTTACAGAAAACAGCTCATTTTATTTTCTGTACTAGTTTTTCAATTATTGCTCTAAATATTTTAATTACGGGTATGAAGTTTTTACTGGTTGGGGAATCATTGTCTTAGAGAACACCATCTACCTTCCAAGACTCATTGACAGACTATTACATATTGTAGCTATATGCAACTGCAATTTTTTGCATGCAAAGTCCTCCCTATTGTAGTGGTGATAAACTGAAAAAATCTTTACTAATAGATTCTAATTAATGAGACCTCCCTTGACCTCAAGGCCAGACATATTTTTGTTAAAAAATGAAAACAACACATTATAGCCATGCGTCCGAAGCGCTTTTCAGGATTTACCTTCATCAGGAACACTCAAAGCCGAATTTTTGAAACCAGGGGTGTATAAGAACCGGAATATTTGAAGAGCTTTTAAGTAACATTAAGAAAAGCATACAAAAATTAATTTCTGAAAGTACAGTATAATTATTATAAGATGATGTGAAATATTTATTTCTAATAATTTGATGTAAAATAATTATCTCCTTTGATGTAAAAATAAATGTATATCAATAAAATATAACACAAAATTTGTGACCTTGTAGCAGGACTATCACAGCCCAAAAAATATAAATTATAAACAAAAAAATTAAAAAACCAATGGATGATTTCTACAACATCTGTTATCACACTCTACATTTTCACCTTATCATACTAACCAATGAAACATAAAGGATAAGTTTATAAAAACATGTCTTTACATAGTACCTGTCCATACAGCCATTGAAGCCTTAATAGGGACCATTACTAAGGAGGTGGCCTGGAGGCAAGTTATGGTTGTGACTTTACTCTTTAAAAGATTAATACAGGTTTCATATTTTATAGCATCCTAATTTCTCCCCTCAATTCATAGTCAATTTTAATGAAAAAATTTACCCCAATGACCACATTGGTACATTTTAAAACCTAGCTACAGCCCTCCTCAATTAATTTCAATTAAAATACAATTAGAAAGATTTATCATATACAATGTACATTCATTCAGGAAATTCAAATGAGTTTTTTGTGTTCTTAACTTTTAACTTTCTATGATGAGTTTTAACTAAAATATTTAGTATTTGCAGAGACATTTGCACAATAAACTACCGGTGGGATTTTTACTTTAAATTCTTAAAAAATTTAACAGTAAATAAAATATCTAATCCTACAACAGATCTTAGAGTCATGTATTTTTTTATGAATTTTCCAACTGTCAGATGTAAGTACCGAGGGGAATATACAAGCTAAAAATATAAGTGCTAAAAATTGAATTAAAGACTAAAATGGAAACAGAAAAGGTTCAAATTTTGTTCAAAATTGCTAATAAATATCATTCATAGCTTCAAAAGAGGTGAAAATCTCCACAACACTCTCGACAGCTACTGGTATCCATCTATTATTATCATGAAGGCTGAATCTAATATTTTGAAATGAAAGAACCTTTATGATCATTCTCTAATACCTAGTATCCTTCAAATCCTCACATAAATTCCTAATGGATATTTCCAAATAAAGTGAAACATTCTTTCCATCCAGTGATAAAAATACACAATAAAATGTTGTGTCATTTAATAAAATAATCAATATTACTGCATTGTAAGAAATTTTCAATATTACTGCATTATAAGAAATTTTCAATATTTCTACTGAACTCAACAAATTCTATACATTTGTATATGCAACCACAAACAACCTAACAAATTAATCAAATATATATAATATATGAATATGATATGAATGGGATGAAAATTCAATGGCACAAAAGATATAAAATGTTCTGAAAATGAAAAATTTATTGCTGCATGAGATATTGGCACTGTATAGAATTTACATATTTTAATTGATAGATGAGAAAAATTTTGGTCCCTCTTTATAAAATACATATAGTGTATGTCACATTTTTTCAAAATGGTTTAAAACTGACATGTAAATGTGGTTCTTATAAACAATCTAGAAATTCTTCTGTTAAAGAAAATAATCAGTTTTTAGGACAAACAATTTCTTTTTTCACTCAAAATCTTATTTCCATAAAAAAAATCTCGAACACAGTAAAAACTCCATCTTCAGCTATTTTAAAATGCTCAGTCAATATACATCAATAGTTTACTTTAAGGAATTGTTCACAAATATAATCTTCATGTCTGTCAATATATAAAATTTATCATACAAAAAATCACAGAAATTTGCAACCAACAAAACAAATTGTTACATATTAGTTAAATACTGAATGAATTCAATATACATAATTGAAATAGATCACATAAGTGTATCAATAAACATCATTCGATGAACAATATATTTCCTGTACTTGGGAACATTTTTACAGTATAGGTTATCTCCCTTCACCAACTTACCCAGGAATGATAGTATATGAAAACCAGGTACATGTAAATGTTTCCTAACTTTTTCATTTGTAAGTGATTTTTTTAAAAATATTCTTTTTTGTAGCTTAAAAACTCCAAAATGAAGGAAATTTTTCCTCTTGCCACCTGGAAGAAAATGCCTGATTATTTGGCATATGTAAATTGGTTAAGGGTTGACAATTGGTATCATTATTTTCGAAGTGAAATATGCTATAATCTTTCATTATATATATACTGGTATTAATAATGTAATTTGTGCTAATGACAGTGTTCGTTGACATCGACAACAACCGCTCGTTTCCATCCAAACATAAAATAACCAGCCCCAGCTCCTAAAATGACAGCTAAACACAACCATACATTGTAGGTCATAAACGCCAACATAAGGCAATAGCTGATAAACACTTGTACTACGTGTAGAATCGTCTGTATGAAGTGTGATGTACTTATTATTTTTTGCCTAAAAATAGAAAAAAAATTATTGTACAAAATGTATGGAAAATCAAAAAAAAAATATAATCTGCAAATATCTAAACAACATATCACTTAGCATTGTATCATCTAAAGTGTTTGACTGTTATGGATTGTTAATGAATGTCATTTGTTGTCCCCACCCATCATTATTTCATCCTTTTTTCCATGAACTTTGCTGACAGGTGCAGTATGTGAAAAGGGACGGATATGAGCAAAATCCATACTGTATACTGTATAGTAAGTTATCAAAGGCCTGACATGACAAAATGTTAAACAATTCAAATGAGAAAATCAACGGCCTGATTCATCAACAAAATAACAAAGTCATTTTCTATATATATTCTTTTATTTGTGTTTTTTTTTTATTATCACAATACTCATGTCCATCTTATTTTGATTAAGATGTCTTAAATTGTCTTGATTTTCTCTAACTGCTCTTACAAGACAAATTATACACCAAATATTTTGTGTGAAAGTACAGTATAAACAATTTAGACTATGATTTGACAGGAAAAAGTATTTTGCATTTTATTATAAATAAGACTTTAAAATTCCCTGATGATAAACACTTTGTGGTGAAAATGTAGGAAAGGGGTGATAAAGTAAAGTTTTACAGTATATAAAATAATGGCATCCTGAATTATGTCAAAACTGATCAAATACACACAAAACTTTTGAACTTTTTTTTCCTGGTATCAATGACAAATCATTTATAAAGAAAGTATATTATTCAGTGTATATTACATGTAGATTGTTAAATGCAATAGATATGTACATTTAGTTTCGTTTTAAATACTGATAATATATATGTTAACCAACACATGCAAAAATATAAGGTCAAACTCCCAAACCATATAATAATGTTACTACAGAAACAATAAAACTGTTCAATACTTTTCTTGCATTTAATCAGTTCAATTTCAATTCTACCCAGAGCTATTTAAACAATTATTGAATATGGAAATCATTTTTGCTGGAATGGAACAGGTGACTGCAGGATAATTTACCTTGAAGTTACCAGAGTTCAATCCGATTAATCTTGGTCTGAACATTTTACATTTATAAAACATGTACAGCTCTTGAAAAAATAAAAACAGAATTGATCACTTGCAAGAAAATTATTGTTTTTGGTTAAAATGATTAATAACAACATGCTTTGTTAGTACTAATATACACCATGCCTTTAAGTTAGTAATACCACATCATAAACTCAATCCAAGAGCAACTGTAATGTAGTAAGATTTTATATTTATAGAACTTTTTCAGCTTTATTTTATGGTGTAACAAAATTTCTGTTAAACAGTTGAGAACTTGGGAATACAAAACCAAAACTTGGTGGTAATTATTTTTGAGTTACCAAGCACACAGAAGTGTAAATATACCATTTTTGACTATGGAAAATCAACAGGGGATACTAGTAATTACACATGTACATGGTTTTGGTATATCAAAATTGAAATTAAAATACCGGTAATAAATTGATCATTGGTTTTTGAAACCATCTACATTTGTAATTAAATTGTCAAAGAATTAAATGAAGCAATAAATGAAAAAAAAGTTTTGCATTGTAAATTTCCGTTTATAATTCATTAAATTTGAAGCTATTCATGAAAAAGTTCTATGAATACATACTGTCAAATTCAACTAAAAAGTAGAGTAAATGGGAGTTAACTCAAACAAAAACAAAACTTTATAGGACTGGTTACAATATGACTGACAGTTTACCTTGCTATCTCCTTTGTATGATATATATTTCCAGAACATTCAAGTCTTTCAAAGAAACAAATGTAACATTATCAAATTGTTAAATTCAATAGAAATGTATAACTTTAGACTTTTAAAGAAACAAATATATCATTATCAATAATATTTGTTTCAGTAGAAGTGTAAAATTTAAGTTTTTACAAAATATATATATAAAAAATAAAACCTTGAAATTTCTTAAGCATCAATCTGATTACTACTACTATAACTAGCTTTAGCATTAAAGCATAATTTATTTTAGCTTCCACGCATGCTAAATAAAAATTGTGAAAATACCCATTTATTTTATCTTGTGTAAATTTACGATACTCAATGCCATCAGCAAGTTTTTCAACTGTTTGCCTGTTAATATTTATCAAATAAAAATAAATTTCTTCTCATGTACAATAAGGAAAATTACAAGAAATATTCAATTTTAGTAAAAGTGATCTGATTGTCTCCAAATTCACAATTTATCTCAAGAACCATTGTAAATTAGATATGTTAAAATTGTATTAAAACCCCATGCTTTCCATGCTGTTATCCTATTTTTATCAAACAGTCCCACCAAAATATCTTATATCTGAATAAATATACCATGAAACCTTCTTAGTCCACAATAATTAATAAGGACCCAAGATTACATTTACAATATTAGAAACAATTTTACGAATGAAATATAAAGCCTGTGGGGAAATGATAAATCACTATTATAAGTACGTAACCTAAAACAGCAAAATAAGAAGAATATTTATGTGTAAAATTTGGGAAATAATCAATCTATATCATTCTAAAAATACATAAGTTTCATATTTGTTGAAATTGTGATCTACTGGGGAATTTTGTCGACCTGATTTTATTCCCTACACATTTAGAGAAATTCAAATTTACTTATAACACATATCTAACATTGATTTAGATTTATGATTGGAAGAGGTAAACAGCTGTCAAAATATCAAATTTCCTTCCATTTAAAAATTGACAATGGAAAAGATTTTTGCCAAAAAGTATGTACTTTGATATGATATTCTTGTCACAATACTGTAAAGTGAGTGTAAACCAATTAATATTTGCGAGAAAAATGATGCAAAACATAAATCTTCATGAATATGTTAACCTTGGATCTTTCTGTACGTAAATACATAAAGGAAATAATAAAATTGCTATATTAAATTGCCGTGAATTCGGCTAGAACTGATTAAAAGCAATATAAACTATCCATTAAAAATAAGTTGGTTTACAATATATGAAATAGTTTAAATTTCAAATCAACTTATAATTTGTCCAAACAAAATAGAACATTTTGACAATTTTTTCTATATAACTCTTCATAAATTCATAAAATATCCACTTATCACTGTCTACAGTCTGAACAAGAACTATTCAGAATTAAAAAAAAAAAAAAACAACTCAAACAGTTTGGATAGATTTCTATCTTTCCATATTAGGTAATGGAAATAACCCTAAAACATACTCCATAGTAAGGGAGATAAGTAACTCAGCCACATACCAATGGAAAGGGAGATAATTCAGACACATACCCATTAGATTTTGCTGACTGTGGATCTATCACCATTGTATCTGTTGATGTATGAGTATATTTTGAGATGGTAGCTTCACTGGAATAGTTTGGTGTCAATGCTTTCCGTAGGAGATGTTCTCTAAAAACTTTTAAGCCTTCATAGATTAGCGCTAGGATGAATATGACTATGCAAGCACCAACCATTTCTGAAAAATACAATCAAATACATAAAATGTATATCTGTATATATTTTGTCTTCATGTTTACTGAACAAAAGGTTGAAATGAATATATTTTTTTTAACTTGAAAGATCTGCTTTCAAACATAACTAAATTATTAACCTAGGAATATGTTTTTGCTGATTCGTTGGGAAATTAAAAGGCAGCAATATGATAGCCTTAGCTATTACTACATGTGAGTGGGATGAATTCTGCAGTCACAGACATCATAAACCTCTAATTGGCAATCAATCCTGTAAATATTAGAATTAAACATGTATTTTAGTACATGTACTGGCAGTTCTCAATAGGAATAATTTGTCTATTAGCAAACAATTTTCTGATGATTTATTTTTCAAATTCATCTCCAATTAAATTCTTTATTTCTATGTGATAATTGAAAATGCTGAAAACAAAGTCGAAACCAAAATCATTGTTTAGCAATTATGTCTAATAGAAAATAAAGTATGTATTGCATTTATTCTAGATTATATTGTAAACATCAACTAATCTTTATTTTCCAACACCTGTCTACAACGTATATTGGTAAACAAAGGATGAGGACACAGAGAGGGTACCAGTCATTTCAATTTTTGATCAGGAATGAAACAAGAAAATAATTCATAAATATTTCTGGAGTTGATAGGGTTTCTGATACAGAAAAACACTCTGAGGGTGTTTATAAAACAAAGCATGGAGAATAAAACAATACTAACAGGTCATAACAATACAATAACTGGTGAGCACTTGTATTCAACTACATTGCAAAATGAATTATATCAAAATATTGAGTGACAGTCCCTCATATTTTCTATGATTAATGGGCTTAACTCTATAATCCAACCCTAATTAAACTTAAACATGATCTGAAACTTCAAATAACATGATTTAAGATCATGTAGGTACCAAAAATCAGTTCAATATCTCAACCTTTTTGACATTTAAGAAAGAATTGATAACACTGAAATTCCATTTTATCCCATAAACAAGTTCACGACTTTAAGGCTTTGGGGAAAAGCAGGGGAAAATTCAAGATTGATAGATGTGTTGACAATCACATATCTTGAAAATCTAATTTAAACAGTACAACACAACAATGCTGTACATATTTCTCATTTTCAAACAGAGCAGTCTAAAGCAAGAGTCCATGGCGTTTTTGCTACTGATTGATTGATTGGTTGGTTTTTGCTTAATGTCCATTGGCAATTTTCACATGTTTTTGCTATTATGAATATATTTAGAAAAATCTCTTCTCAATCTCACCTCCTGCTGTAGATACTAGAGCCTCTTTGAACAGAACATGTTCACACGTCCCTGTGTGGAAATACATCTGAAAATAAATCAACAAAACAGTATAACATCAGTAATTAGCAGACTGAACAACAAATCAGTAACTGTATTTTCCTAAATTGATTGATTGGTTAGTGATTAACGCCACTTTGAGCACTGTTGGCTATTTCATGGCAGCCAGTTTTTAAAGGTGAAGGAAGCCATAGTACCATGAGAGAACCACAGACCTTCAGTAAGAAAACTGGCAATCCTTGTCAATCATAATTGAAGTCGAAGCACCTGCCATGTACAGGACTTGAACTTATGTGACCTCAGTGTTGACAGGCTAGTGATACAGTAGTAGGACTACTTATACCACTCACCCACCATAGCCCCTATATAATCCTACAAGCTATAATTATAAATATGTGTGTGTTTTATTTTATAGATTTTAATGGTACATTCTTAGTCAATAATACAAATAATACAATTAATTTTATTTTATAGCATGATCAATACAATAAAAGTATCACAGCTTGTAATTTGATGAATATTGCCCCTCATAGATATTATCAATTGCATGCTGAAACTGTGAACTGCAATTTTCTACTCATGACAATTTAAGAAATATTTGTGCAATTACCATATAATTGTTAATTCAAAAATGAATGTGTGCCTTTATTTCATGTGAAACCTGAAGAAATTACGAAGATAAATTAATGCTACTGACAATTTAAAAACTGCATGATTAATATAAAAATTTGAATAATAGATGAGAGGTATATGAAATTAGACAGCAACTCAATGATACAAAATATCATCTAGTGGTCAACATCAAGGATTTAAACTTTAGACATCAATCCATACAATAAGTCAAATTCTAGTTTAATCGTCCCAAGTCTAGAAAATAAATTTAACAGAGACATTCAAAGATCTGCTATCATTATAAAACAAGATGATAGATGATAAAACATTTAAAAGATATATAATTAAAAGTAATCACTCAAAAGGTTCATGAACAAGGACAGACAGTCATGGACATGTGGTGTGGATAAACTTGTTTTTTGAGACATCAAATAATGTAATTTGAACACCATACATCAATAAATAATGCATTTCATGTAATATGTATGATAAATTGATATTTGGCTTATATTACAGAATTTTACTATCAAACAGAAAAGATGAAAATTTTTTCTGTATGCATTTATCATGAAGAAACATCTTTATCCAAGCTCAGTGACATTCTTGATATTTGAAAATTCAAATTTTTCAGGCCAAAAATAAAATTAGAATTGGTTGATGTTGCGTACCTACCCACTAAAAAGCAGCCTTCTCAAAACATCTTTTTTTTAAAGTCTTTTTCATGTTCTAACATTGTTTTCTTGTTAAAACATGTAACTTTTGTTGTTGGCCAAAAAAAAAAATCCCTGTACCCAGCCCTACAAGGAATGGGTAGGCAACATCACATCAAACAAAGAATTTTTTAAGGGTGGCCCCAATTTTGAAAATGTATCTATAGATCTCTTGTATATAAATATCATAACCAAGAGGATATTATGATAGAGGTATATAAAGCAAAAAAGTGATAACATTAATTTCATACTATGTGTATAGTATCTTGGTCATTTTATATTATTGTTCAGAATATCTATTATGGTACCATCATGACGATGATGTTATCCATCTCTAACCTGACTAAACAAGGGAGCGTTTGATCTGATATGGATAACAACAATGTTCTATGAGGAGTGTCAAATGATTCAAGACACTTAAATGTACAAAAGACATATACATTTCCCCTCCTCTCTTTGAACAGAACATTTTTAAACATAAGCAAAATGTAAAATAAGCAGATTTTGTGTTATCGTGATTGACAACCATGTATGAAGTTGTTACCATAAAACTTAACATCTTGTTACCTGGCTGAAGTTTACATGTTTTCTTTTATAAAATACTTGTAAGTAAGCAAGGGAGATATTCAATGTTCTTCACTTATAACATATACTTATACAGGGTTTAAAACATGTACAAGATACCAGTTCATCCTGTGCAAAATTTTTGTAAGTAATTGTGAAAGTTTTGATTGCTCCAACTAACATGACTAACAAAAAAGATTGCTCCACATATAAAAAGATCTAAAAAAAAATCCCACTTCTAATCAAAACAAGAGTGCACAAGCTGAAATGTCACGCCTGTTTTACTAAACATTGATTTTATGTTGAAAGTCTTAAAAATAAGGTTTTACTGCAAGTATCACATACATTCAACATTTTTAAAGATCCATGACAATGAGGTCAAGGTCACATAAATCCTACCAGACATACATGTACACCTTACAATTATTCCACACACCAAATATAGTTGACCTACTGCTTATAGTACTTGAAAAACAGACCACAACACAAAAAAACTTTATATTGACCAATGAACCATGAAAAAGAGATCAAGGTCATGTGACACCTGCCAGACTGACATGTACCACATACAATTATTTCATACACCAAATATAGTTGACCTACTGCATATAGTATCTGAGAGCAGACTTAATCATGTAACTTTAACCTTTATCACTGACCCATATAATGAGGTCAACCATCAAGGTCAGATGAACTCTGTCTGACCGACATAAGGATGTTGCAAGGAACCCATATACCAAATATAGTTATCCTATCACTCAAAATAAGTGAGAAATTCAAATGACAAATAAAAAACAAAATAAAATGTTCAAGCAGTTACTGAACCATGAAAATGAGGTCAAACACAATGGACATATGACAGACTGACACTTTGTAACATAAGGTATCTACATACAAGGGATGAAGCATCCAGGTCTTCTTCCTTCTGAGATATAAAGCTATATATAAATAGTTTATACCACAATTGGATAGTAATCCCTATGTCTCGCATACTGTGACTTTCATCACAGATGAGACAAAAATATAAAGTCAGGCTTGCCCAATACTTTGAATTGATTAACAAGTACACCTTTGTAAATATCAAATTTACCAAAATATTGGACACAACAGAAAGCAGCACAAACCACTAACAGTTGACAGAGATATGTCTCGCCTGGTATCTGTATGATTTGTTACAACTCTAATTGTACGAACTTAAATTCGTTCAAAATTACATAGTCAATTAGTTCAATCTTTACTTTTTGCTGTTCAACCATATCCACATAAAAAAAAGCTGCAAGCCATTGTTAAATTATAACATATTTTTTAATTTGTTTGGTGTTAGTTTTTATTTATCAATTTCGTGACAATTTGTCTTTTGTTTTTTTTTAAATATCAAAGACTACTAGCTAATTATACTTTCAAAGAAATCATTATATTATTATAATTGCTTAACAAAATGGATCTAAAAGTCTTTTATGTGTTAATCAGAAGAATAAACCTGTAGACAGCTTGGGCTGAAGCTTGGATCGTAAATGCTTCTAAATAAAAATTGAAATTATAACAAGTGTACAATGTTTTTGAAGGTGCAATGTTACTACTCACTAACACTGGTTGTGCGTGTTTTACAATATAAAATTTTACTCGGTTTATTGATAAAACGAAAATATATACTTTAAAAAAAGAAATATAACAAAAGAATTTACAGTTTGAGCTTGGAGGTGTGGAATTCAAAAACATTTTTTCTATAAGTCAGCAACTTTAAAACCAGTGACAAATAAATTTCAAAACCAGGTTTCTTGGTCATACTTCACTCTACTCGAAGTACAAAATTTGTGCACAAAACATCAAATCCAGTATTTTGATTGGTTGATTTCTGAGTCTGAGTACAATAATTGTGCTCGAAATCTTTATGACCACAAGGCTAGGATTTTTTGGGGTTCATTTTCCAGACAAATAGACCAAACAAAAAACTAAAAATTGTTCAATGAACCATAAAATAAAGGTCAAGGTCAGATGAAACCTGCATATAATTAAAGTGTAATGTTGACTTAAAAAGTGAGTCGATTTATCAGTAAAATACAGAACTTTAAAAAATTAAAACTTTTCTTGGTCTCGGTCTTGAAGATTAGCTCCTGTCCAAGTTTTATAACAATCCATGAAGGTTTAAAAAATTAAATCCCAAATGTTAACTGTAAAAAACTAAGTCCTAGGACCATTACTCTTCACAAAATCATCAGACGGGAACAAAATTCAAACTTGGATCTGCAACTGGTCATGATAAAACTATATACCAATTGCAAATATGAAATCAATATCTTCAATCACACAAAAAATGTGTGGAAAACTCATTTGCCAGACTGACAGATGGACAGACAGACGGAGTGCAAACCTAAAGTCCCATTAGACTTTGTTGGTAGGGGACTAAAAAGTAGGGACAGGTTGACCAAGTTAATTGGATGATTTGAACTTGGAACAAATTGCTAAGTCCAAGTATTCCTGAACAAAATCAGTTGAAGCAAATTGACCAAATTGTAAGGACGAATTGGCATTGAACGATTCTGAATTGGAATAAATTGACTAGCATTCTTCTCGCCTGTGTGTAATTATGATAGTAAATTACAAATGTTTGAAATCAAAATAGTGTAAACTATGCAAAACATTCATAGTCTATGAACCATCAGAGGTGGATCCAGGGGGGGGGGGGGGGCCTGGGGGGCCTGGGTCCCCCCCTTTCATGGGAAAATTTTGGTTGATTATATAGGGAATCACTGAAGCATGACTGGAGCGGGCCCCCCCCCCTTATGAAAAGTTCTGGATCCGCCACTGACCATGACTACAGCTGCATGGCCACATCAGAAAAGATTTAGCCATTATAATGATTAAAATCAAACTTGAATATACTCATCATCCTTAAAGACCCTCTGATCACTGAAATACTCAGAGCCTTCTCAAATCTGTATAATTATTAAGAAATCCAAAGAAAATGAATTGTTATAGGATTAAATAATGTGTGTCATTGTTTTTAATTGTTCAGTATATAGAGCGTAAAATCACATACTAATAGAGTCATTTCAATGGGTTAAATTATTTAGAAATCCAACGAAAAATGCAGGATCAAATAATGTGTGTCATTTTTATATTTTTGGGTTGGGTAAATAGT